AGGCAATAAACTCATGAACATCAGCCACTGCAACATTTTTCTGGATATGTCTCCTCAGGCAAGGAAAACAAAAGCAAAAATAAACAATTGGGACTACATCAAAATAAAAAGCTTTCTGGGGGCGCCTGGGTGGCTCAGTTGGTTAAGCGACTGCCTTCGGCTCAGGTCATGATCCTGGAGTCCCGGGATCGAGTCCCGCATCGGGCTCCCTGCTCGGCAGGGAGCCTGCTTCTCCCTCTGACCCTCCCCCTCTCATGTGCTCTCTGTCTCTCTCATTCTCTCTGTCTCAAATAAATAAATAAAATCTTTAAAAAATAATAATAATAAAATAAAAAAAATAAAAAGCTTTCTGCATAAAGGAAGGAGCCATCAACAAAATATAAAGACAACTTACTGCATGGTAGAAGATATTTGGAAATGATATATTCAATAAAGGGTTAATTATCTAAACTAGATAAAGAACTCATACAACTAAACACCAAAACAACTAATTTGATTTAAAAATGGGCAGAGGACCTGAATAGACATTTTTCTAAAGAAGATATACAGAAGGCCAACAGGCACATGAAAAGATGCTCACCATCACTAATCATCAGGGAAATGAAAATCAAAACCACTTCACACCAGTCAGAATGGCTAGTATCAAAAAGAAAAGAGATAAAAAATAACAAGTCTTATCAAGAATATGGAGAGGAGAACTCTTATGCATTGTTGGTGAGAATGTAAATTGGTGTAGCCATTATAGAAAACAGTATGTAGATTCCTCAAAAAATTAAAAAATAGAAATACCATATGACCTAGCAATTCCACTTCTAAATATTTACTGAGAGAAAATGAAAACACTAATGTGGAGAGACATACGTTCCCCTATGTTTATTGAAGTATTATTTACAATATCCAAGATACAAGAGCAAATTGTGTCCATCAGTAGATAAATGGATAAAAATGATGCGGTATATATAAACAATGGAATATTACTCAGCCATAAAAAAAGAATGAAATCTTGCCTTTTCTGGCAACATGGATGGACTAGAGAGTATCATGCTAAGTGAAATAGGTCAGAGAAAAACAAATACCATATAATTTCATTTACATGTGGAATCTAAAAAAATTGAACAAATAAATAACAACAACAACAACAAAATAGAAACAGACTCATAAATACAAAGAAGAAACTGGTGGTTGCCAGACGCGGGGTGGAGGGCTAAGGGGGGCACAGAGAGGGTTGGTAAAACAGGTGAAGGGAATTGAGAGATATAAACCTGCAGCTATAAAATAAGTAAGTCATGGAGATGAAAATTTATAGAATATAGTTCATAAAACTGTAATACCATCATGTGGTGACAGATGGTAACTACATTTACCATGGTGAGAATTTGTAATATTTATAATTGTTGAATCACTATGCTGTACACCTGTAACTAATGTAATATTGAGTGTCAACTATACTTCAATTAAAGAAATTTTTTAGGGGCGCCTGAGTGGCTCAGTCGGTTAAGCGACTGCCTTCGGCTCAGGTCATGATCCTGGAGTCCCTGGATCGAGTCCCGCATCGGGCTCCCTGCTCGGCAGGGAGTCTGCTTCTCCCTCTGACCCTCCCCCCTCTCATGTGCTCTCTTTCTCTCTCATTCTGTCTCAAATAAATAAATAAAAAATCTTAAAAAAAAAAAAAAAAGAAATTTTTTAAATTATGCTAGAAGGAAGGTGAGTTTGAAGGTAGGAAATGAGTGCTTAGTATGTAAGGATAATTCTTCAACATTAAGGAAATAATCACATTCATTGAAAACTTAAAATTATATGTGGTAAATTCTATTTTAATGAAATAATCCATTCTAGATTTAAGAGTAAAGTTTTAAAAATCCTTATTCAATTCTAGTCTAGTTACTCTGAAAAAAAGAAAAAAAAAGACCTAGAAAGACAGTTATCCTAAATTCAAAATCATTAAATACAAAACTCACTGTGATTATTAATAAAAAGTTTAAAATTAAAAATAATAATAATTAGTTAAAACAAAAGTAATATCTATTCTTAGCTTGTGGGTTATAGGAAAACAAGCCACAGAGCAGAATTTGGCCCAAAGGCTATAATTTGCTGACTCTTGCTATAGAGAGACAGATTTGGTTGAAAACTGGAGATGTTTATAAACAATAGAACTGAAGCTAAATGGTCTCTCTGTTAAAATGGTAGAGAGGATCTTCACAAAATAGATGAGAGATTGAAATTTGTAATCTAAGATGACTTCCAATTGGAAGAGTCTGTCTGTGATTTTTTGGTCTTGTTGTATCCTGAAATATGGTAATTCAAGGTGATAAAAGGAGACTTTATTACATATTTAAAAGGAAAATTTTTTAAATTTAGCTCAAAATATTGACTATATTTTCCAGGAACTTAAACAAACAAATAAACAAATTGCTCTTACATTTCCTGAACCCAAAAGCTACCTCCAAAACCCGAATCATCTTTACTTTCTGATTCATATCTGCTAGTCTGGAAACTTCTTCAGTAAGTTTACTTAAATTTGACAGTGGAAGCCACAGTTTTGAAAAGGATTTAGTAAGTGTTCAATAATAGCTAACTATTCTTGCCATTATTGTTATTATTATTTCAAATTTTTCACAAATAAAAGAACACCTTGCCATGCCACAGGGAACAAGAGAGAACGATTCAGAGGACCCCCATGTAAATCCACTCCATTGAGATAGCACTGTATCAATGCAGAAATACTTGATTTCAAATTCTGGAAAGGTTGTTTGCTCCTCATCGGCATATACCTGAAATTCATTGGTGACAATCTTGCCTCTGTTTGTAGGTTTCGGGCTCTGTGTAAATTCCTGGCCTTTGGAAGGGCCGCCAGAATAAACTGCATGAGTGGGGGCTGACTCAAGTTTTGTGAGAGCTGAAATTCTCTTTTTAAAAAATAATGCAGAATTATGAATAAAAATTAGGTACAGGATTTGGGGCTGCTGTGTAACAGAAGTGACCTGAAGCTTAAACTTCATGAGCTCAATAGTAAATTCACCTCAGTAATAAAAAATGGATGAGTCTCAGATTCTTTTCAAAGAGCATTTTTGAAACAAAAGACAAGACCCCAAGATTCATAACAATTGAGTTTCTGTGAGTAATGAGATTTTCGGCATAAGACATAGAGCAGAAAACACTGGCAACTGGGGAGAGGGCAGTGTTATCAATGACAAACTTCACCTAACTCACAGTTTGTATTTACCCCTTTCCTTTTAGGGCCTCTTCACTCTTGGCGCCATAAAGAAAATAGTGTTATCCAGTTGCATGTCAACTTAGCATCTCTAGCCCCGACAATTAAACAGGCAAAAAAAATCAAATAACCCAATGAACTAGGTCTTGAAAATAAATGTAGATTTTCAGTAAATAAAGACTATCTTAAGATAGGAAATAGTAATTTGGTTCATGAGAACATCTTTTAGAGAGGTATCATCTTCTAAAACTGATCAAGGCTTTAGAACCTAGGAAAGTGGCCTTGTGTTCTCTAAGGCAGTTCTGGTTCTCATGCCACTTGTCATTAAGCACACACACCAAAGCATGTAATTATAGCAGCATGCTGAGAAGTGACCTGCTGCTACCTAAGCATATGTCTTTTCCTAAATGCCCCCTGTGCAAGAGCTGATCAATGAGCATATCTTTGCAATTCATTCCAGCATTTTTGAGTTAGGTCAATCAGATGTAACTGAATCTTTTAAGTCTTTAGCTGAATACTGTAATTTTATCTATGTGGTCATATAGAGAACAGTTATATTTATATTTTGCTTAACAGAATTTCATGAGATTCATAGAAGTCGTAGGAAATGTTGGGTGCAGCCTGACCCTGGCCCCATGCATGCAAACGTATGATTCAAAAGCAAAGCTATTAGCTATTAGTGGTTTTCAAGTGGGACATAGCTACAATTGTGAGATAGATTTTGAGTCACTTTGCAAAAATAGAAAAGGACAACATGTATGATTAACACTTAAAAATTATAGCAGATTCAACAGCGGCTATAAAGTGCATCAGTTTCATAGGATGCATTATTAAAGGCTTTCTTTAGCCAGAGGAAAGAGATGGTGTTATAGTTACTGAGCCAGAAGCATAACCCACAATATTGGTGAGATCTTTAAATAGCTGTGTTAATTACTGACATAATCATTAACTGCTCTTAGAATGACTCACCTAAAACAACTCTGGCACAATTTCATATGTCCAATACTCCATGCCATATAACAAATAGGAATCTTATCCATTACGTCTATTGCGTTGCAGAAAGTATGAGAACTACAGGCTTTGGAAATATGAGAGCTATGCCTCACTGAATGTACTAATCCATAAATGTACCAGGAATTGCTTAGAGATGAAATAAACTATGTCTCACACATATATCTCACATATATTTATAATATCTCAGTATGTAAATACTGTTTTGACTTAAGACGGCTTCTTTGAGGTTTCTGAATTCATGATAGATTTTTGGCCTTATGTGTTTTTACAATTAATGGATACTAAACACACAATTACTATCCACAAAAGTTTGTGAAATATTTTTAAGATAAAAAAAAAGTCAGGTAGTTGAAAGTACTGGAAATCTTCAAAGGTAGAATTGGTAATTAGGTTTAATATCACCCTCCCCAGAACTCTTTTCCTTTTGCATGTATCCAGGGTTCTGGGCAGCAGAACTTTATAAAGCAGATGCCCTTAGTACAAGTCCAGTGATGGGACCTATATTTCACTCAAGATTGTGTCTTTTCCTCCTTCTATACAAGTAGAAGCATTCTCTTTTATCTTTGGTAATGGAACTACTTTTCCCCAATATGATTTATGAACCAAGTCTTTGCCTAAAAAAAGCAATGTGTGTTTCTACCTAAATCTGACTGCTTAAAGTAGATCCTTTTAACCTGAATAATCCCTCAGTGGCAACTAACTCATTTTAATGTTCTTTGATTAAAAACAATTGTGATTTATGGAGTGGAGGTAATAGTTCCATTTAAGATCATACTATTATTAACAACACAGCAGGAGAGCTCTCAAGACAATGGCTTTTCACCAGAGAATGTTATGAAGCAACTGTAACATATTTCAAAAGCTACAGCCCATCATTGTTTTTCATTGAACACATCTGACATTTAACATTGGGTAAATTTAAGATGTACAACATGTTGCTTTGATACATTTATATATTGTAATATGATTGCTGATATAGCAATATTTATCACATTATATAACTATAGTACAATATTCTTATCTATATTTGTTATACTGTGTGTTAGATCTCTATGGCTTATTTACTACTTGTTACAAGTTTGTACCTTAAACACTATCACTCTTATCCCCCTACCACATCCCCTGGTAGCCACAGTTTTACTCTGCTTTTTACAGGTTTAACTCTTTTAGATTCCACATATAAGTGATGTCATACAGTTCTTGTTTTTCTCTGTCTAACTTATCTTTCAGCATAATGTGCTCAAGGTCCATCTGTGTTGCTGCAAATGGGAGATTATCAGACCATCATCTTTTAAAATGCCCAAAAAAGGAATACTTCACTAATGTGTAGGCTGCACACATACATATCTGAGTAAATTTCATGAACCAATTACATGCATTTAGACTTTTCTTTTTAAAAAATCACATTGTACACATTTTTACTCTAGCCCCATTGAGACTTACATAAGTTACTGTGTCTTACATAGGCATATTGCAAATAAATCCATCCATCTTGTATTTCATAAAAAATTTTCTTTTGTTTCACATTGGTACTTAATAAAGCTTTTCAAAACCTATTTTTACTTAATCATTTATTTGCTGTTTAATCCTAAAAGCTTAACATTTAAAAAAGGAGTATCTTCCTTTACTTTCTACTATTAAAATTCAATGACATTTGACAGAAAAGTAAATGGCATTTGGGGAAGGGAAGTAAATGTCCTTCTCCTTTTAAAAGCATGAGATATGTGGCAAGTAATTGAAACTATTACATTCCAGAAGGTAAAAGAAATTATTCTATCTTTCTGCCTATCTGTGCAAACATTCAATAAAGAAAGATTGAGTCATGAGTATGGTGCTATATTGAAATACCTTGGAGAGCTGTTTTTGAAAACCCATTCTTCAGGCCTACAACAACGAGTCATTAAAATTATTATGAGTAATATTCTCACCAACTAGATATTCAGAGTTCACCTCCAAGCTTTGTCTAGAGTGTAGAAATGAATATTTGAATCTAAGAGCTCAATGGATCCTTTGGAGTCATTTAATAGAATCTTCTCATTTTATTGATTCGGGAACCTCAAAACAGAGAGGTGATTTGTCCAAGATCACACAAAGGTCATGACAAATCTGGCCTTTCGTTATCTCATTGCTGCTTCAGCTCTACCACCATTCCTTCCCCTTAGCCTGGGTTTAAATAGAGATTTAGAGGTTTCTGGACAATGGTTTTAGCTGGTCTAACACTGTTAGCACTTTTTTTTTTCTTCCAACCATGCTGTGAGTAAAAAATCTGTTTCTGAGTGAGTCAAACACAATTTTGGCAGTGTCTCTCTCTTTTTTTCCAAGTCTTTCTGTTTATTATATGCTGTAGTAAAGCCCGAGTTGATGGTGGTTAAGTGAGGGCCCTGAATAAAAGACGGGCTCTTTAACCCCTCTGACTCAGCTGAAAGGACTAGATAAAAACGTCTCCAGGTATGCTCCAAATAGAATAGGATGCAGGCCTCTTTCCGACCAGTGAGAAGGATACAGTATTTAAGGACTCTGGGTCTGCTTACCTTTGATCCAGGATCTAGATAGTGCAGGAGGAGACATGGTAAGAAAAACAGAGACAGAAGAGATTAAGATGACTTCCCTGAGCCCAGGAAGACATGTGTTGTTCTTGTTCTAAATGCAAAGCTGTAAATCAACCTTTTCAAGACCCATGCTGTTTGAATTGATATTCACTGAAAGTGACCCAAGAGCTTCAGAAATATTACAACCACAAGGTTGCTAAGCATCCCTCTAATGTACACAAAGCAAGAATAAAGACTTTTAACATAAGCCAAGACTATTCAAATAGAAGTATCTCAAATGATCCTGAAAGCAACGTGACCTGAATGCTTCCAGACCCTAATAGGAATGGGTTCTTCCATTGTTGGCTTACAAATCAAAGTGTTATGCAATGGTCTTTCCAAATTCAAAAACAATTTCATTTAATTTTCTTCTAATTCCATTCATCAATACATATAATTTTCCATTTATTGGATTATTACATAAATAAAGTTAGATAATTAAAGGCAAAGAGTCTTGCATAAAGTAGAGGGTTAATAAATAGTAAGATGTTTTTCTATCATATTAAAATATATGACTCTGTCACTTTTAGGTTAAATTTGTATCTACTGTGCTACATTCAGTGGCATCCAGCAAAGCAGACATTTCACTAGCAAAATGCAAAGGAAGCAAAATTTTTTGGTTAAATATTTTTTTAAGTGCAGCTTTTTGTCTGTTTTTTTATAAGCATTTCATTCGGGATACTAGCCATCATATTTCCATATGTTAATGTTTGTGTATTTAAAATGAAGGCACAGTAAAAACTCGGTATCTTTCATTTCAAAAGGGAAAAAATTCAGATGTAAGTGTTATCACTTCTTATTTTAAACCAAATCTTCACCATGACCCCTGGATATACTAAGCTTTAACTAAATATTTTTTAAGACTTTAAAATGTCTAAAGAGAACTTGAGAAGTCACAGTGTCCTTCTAAACAACTTTTTTTTTTTAAAGATTTTATTTATTTGAGAGAGAGAATGAGACAGAGAGAGAGAGCATGAGAGGGGGAGGATCAGAGGGAGAAGCAGACTCCCTGCCGAGCAGGGAGCCCGATGCGGGACTCGATCCCGGGACTCCAGGATCATGACCTGAGCTGAAGGCAGTCGCTTAACCAACTGAGCCACCCAGGTGCCCTTCTAAACAACTTTTCACTCTCACCAATATTTCTATCACTCTACTGAATTTATGCTAAAAAATCACCAGTTAACCACAATTTTGTCAATTCTAATGGACCTTCTTAGTGACTCACTTGAAAAGTAACATCCCATGAACTTTCCATATAGTTGGTTTCTCTTTCCTAGAAATCCTCTTACCTTGGCTTCAGTGAAACCAAATCCTCCTGGCTTTCCTCTTTTCTTCCTTTGGCCACTGTATCACATTTTTTCTGCTTCTCTTCTATGCAACATTTAAATGTTACTCGGGACTCTTTTTATGCCTTCTTTTGTTCTCACTGTAAATTCTTATCTCCGGTTAACTTGCAGCCTTCCGTTTCATTTTAACATGGAAGGATAGTCTTCGCCATCCCATCCTGCAAACATTTGGTGGGAAGAGAGTGTAGTAAAATTGAGTAAAAGAGACAAGAGAACTTATTAAATCTGTAATGCGTGGGGCTGAAGAAACATAAAGACCTAAATGTTCTCTTATAGAGAAGACAGCAAGATTATACCATTATGATGTTGCCAGGATTCACCCCTTTTTTTTTTTTTTTTTTTTTTTTTTTACTTCAAGGACCACAGACAACTGGACCCTGGAGAAGAGGCCAGAGGTTTAGAAAGACCAGGTGAAATGTGAGAGGAGAGGAGAAAATGGAGAGAGACCATATGTGTTCATGAACAGCTAATGGAAAGACTGTTCTTTATTTGCTGTTTTTTCCGGTGATTGAATCTGCATGTGCACCATTCCAGATGCTAAAGGCATAATTAATGAGTTACATCAGGGCCCAGGACTCCTGGTTTTTATCTCCAGCCTAGATTTTTCCTTTGAGTTTCAGACCCTTATACTGAGTCATTACTCAATATGTTCATGTCACCTCCAGCTAGGGTTTTATGAAAAAAATGTATGCTTCTTTTCGCTCTTTTTCTTCTGGTGATGTTTATCACACTGTTGGTCATGAAGAAACCTAAAAGCTAAACATGACAGTTCAATATTCCTCATTCTCTTTATCAAATCCACCCACTCTCTTCCATCTCTGCTATCATTACCCTAGTCCAAGCCACCAGGATCTCTTGCTTGGGTTATTTCAGTAGCCACCTGTTGCTGTTTTTATTTCCCCCAAAGTTATAAATGCATGCATAAATTCTACATGAATCAAAGAGTTCTACATACAAGGCTTGCAGTATATACACACACACACACACACACACTCACACACAAACACATGGGATCCTGGCATCTTCCTCCTCATTTCCCATCTCCAATCATCTTTAATTCCTTTGGCATTTACCTCTAGAACTCTACAAAATAAACATATGTTGTCACTTCTTGATTCAGAGTGAAACATTAATTTCTTGCATAACATTTTACATTTCCTGGACTTTCTCATTATCTAGGTGTTTTTTTTTCAATATTTGCTTACTTTTCTATTTATTCTAAATTCTTTGCCAGTTGTTGTCTATATCTGAAGTTGTTCAATGTATCAGATATTCTTTCCATTTCTGTTTTTTGGAGCATTTCTCACAGCCTGTTGACTTGCTCTGGTCTGGTGGGCTTCCGTGCCTGGTTTTCATCTCCTTTCAAAATCCCCCTGGGGATTCCTTTCACCTTCCTTCTGGGTTTCCTATTTTTTGTATTCCATGGTTTTCTATGTTTTGGTTTATTCCCTTGCTTTAGTAGAGCACCATCTGTAGTAGCCTCCTGAGAAATCCTGACCTGAAAGTAAGTTTCTGCATCTTTCATGTCTCAATATGTTTTGTTTTACTCTAGCAATTAATTGATAGTGGCAGACTATAGTATCATAGATCAAAAATGGTTGTCCTTCAGAATTGGAAAGCATTGTACTATTGTCCACTAAGTATCCAGGGTTGTTGTGAGAACTCTATTTTGATGCCAGTATTATATATATGTACCTTTTTTCACTGTTTTTTGTTGTTGTTGTTGTTGTTGTTGTTTAGTTTTTGTTTTCTATCCTCCATGGAAGTTTGTAGGTTCTTAATTTTGTCCTTCTGAAATTTCATGATGGGGTACTTTGGAAGCAACTAGTAAAATTTACAGTATAAAGATGTATGTTCTTCTGCCTTTGGGAACTCTTAAATTTTTCCATTTATGATTTTCTTCCTTTATTTTCCCTCTTCTCTCTGTCTGGAATGCCAATAATTCAGATATTAGCTTTCATGGGCTTATCTTCTAATTTTATTACATTATTTTTATTTTTTGCTTCACTATGTGAAATATAAACCACTTTGTATTTTTGCTTTACTATCTGCAATACATACACTAAATTATCTTCCAAATATAATGTTGAGGTTTTTGTTTCTGCTATACTTTTACTTTTTATATCACAAGTTCTTTCGTTTTCTGTATTCTGAATATTTGTGTTATTCTTTAATAGTATCCTGTTCTTGTTTCATGTTTATGTATATTTCCATCTCAAGTTTTAATCATAGTTTTTATTTTTTTATTTTTTAGGACGCTTATTTTTATTTTTCAAATTTATTTATTTTTTAAATAATTCTATATCTTTTAATTTTTATTCCAGTATAATTAACACACAATGTTACAATAGTTTCAGATGTACAATATAGTGATTCAACAATTCTATACATTACTCAGTGCTCATCACGATAAGTATACTCTTAATCAATCCCCTTCACCCGTTTCACCCATCTCCCCTCATCCCTTCTGGCAATCACCAGTTTGTTCTCTATAGTTAAGAGTCTGTTGTTTTATCTCTTTTTTCTCTGTTTTGATTCTTAAATTCCACATATGAGTGAAATCATATGGTGTTTGTCTTTCTCTGACTAAAAGATTTATTTCACTTAGCATTATAGCCTCTAGGTCCATCCATGTTGTTGCAAGTAGCAACATTTCATTCTTTTTTATGGATGAGTCATATTCCATGGTACATATATACCACATCTTCTTTATCCATTTATCTATTGATGGACACTATTTGCTTTTATATCTTGGCTATTATAAATAATGCTGCAGTAAATATAGGGATGCATATATCTTTCAAATTTGTGTTATCATATTCTTTGGGTAAATATGCAGTAGTGGAATTATTGGATCATATGGAAATTTTATTTCTAATTTTTTGAGGAACTTTCATATTGTTTCCCACTGTGGCTGCACCAGCTTGCATTCCTACCAACAGTGCACGAGAGTTGCCTTTTCTTCACATCCTTGCCAACACTTGTTTCTTGTGTTTTTGATTTTAGCCATTTTGACAGTTATGAGGTGACATCTCATTGTGGTTTTGATTTGATGATGAGTGCCATTGAGCATCTTTTCATGTGTCTGTTAGCCATCTGTATGTCTTCTCTGGAAAAATGTCTATGCAGATTCTCTGCCTGTTTTTAATTGGATTATTTGTTTTTGGGGTCTTGAGTTTTATCAGTCCTTTATATATTTTGGATATTAACCCTTTATAAAATATGTCATTTGCAAATACCTTCTCCCATTCAGAAGGCTGCCTTTTAGTTTTGTTGATTGTTTCCTTCACTGTGCAAAAGCTTTTTATTTTGATGTAGTCCCAACAGTTCATTTTTGCTTTTGTTTCCCTTGCCTTTGGAGACACAGCTGATGTCAGAGAAATTACTGTCTGTGTTTGATGGTTTCAGGTCTCACATTTAGGTCTTTAATCCATTCTGAGTTTATTTTTGTGTATGGTGTAAGAAAGTGGCCCAGTTTCATTTTTTGCATGTTGCCAGCCAATTTTCCCAACACCATTTGTTGAAGAGACTGTCTTTTTCCCATCACCTATTCTTTCCTGCTTTGTCATAGATTAATTGACCATATAATCGTGGGTCTATTTTTGGACTCTATTCTGTTCCATTGATCTATGTGTCTGTTTTTGTGCCGATACCATACTTCTTGATTACTACAGCTTTGTAGTATCCCTCAAAATCTGGGATTGTGATACCTCCAGTTTTGCTATTAGGGGTCTTCTGTGGTCCCATACAAATTTTAGGATTATTTGTTCTAGTTCTGTGAAAAATGCTATTGGTATTCTGATAGGGATTGCATTAAATCTGTAGATTTGCATATTATGGACATGTTAACAATATTTGTTCTTCTAACCCACGAATATGGAATATCTTTCCATTTGTTTGTATCATCTTCAATCTCTTTCGTCAATGTTTTATAGTTTTCAGAATACAAGTCTTTCATCTCCTTGGTTAAGTTTATACCTTAACATACCTTAGTATGTTATTATTTTGGTGCAAATGTAAACGGGATTGGTTTTCTTTTTAATTTCTCTTTTGCTTTGTTATTAGTGTACAGAAATGCACTATATTGATTTTATATATTGATTTTGTATCCTGTGACTTTATGAAATTCATTTATTAGTTCTAGAAGTTTTTTTGGTAGAGTAATTATAGCTTTTATTAAGTTTTATTTTCTCTGCATTATTTTTCCCCAAATTATTCTTTTAATTATTTGTTTATTTTAGTTTCTTTTTTCAAGTGAAGAAGTTTTCCTTTTCTGGTAACCTGTCTGGTAATCCTTAACTAATGGCTCATATTTAATAGTGGGAAATTAAAATTGAATGGTATTGTCTCTGAGAGTGTGGATAGGACTTTGCCAAAGTGGGCTCAGTAGAGACACATCTGAATGCACCATACCTTTGGGAACCTCCCAGTCATAATTTTTAGGTCCTTCCTCTGGGTCGTGTCAGAATCTCCAGGGACACTTTCCCTTGTTCAGTGTTTTGTTAGTAGAAGTCTGGCTAACAGATTTTTTTTTTTTTCTCAAAAGATTTTATTTGACAGAGAGAGACAGCGAGAGAGGGAACACAAGCAGGGGGAGTGGGAGAGTGAGAAGTAGGCTTCCTGCAGAGTAGGGAGCCCAATGTGGGGCTCGATGTGGGGCTCAATCCCAGGACCCTGGGATCATGACCTGAGCTGAGGGCAGATGCTTAACGACTGAGCCACCCAGGTGCCCCTGGCTAACAGATTTCTTAAACCCAAGTTGAAGAAAGGAACTGAGGGTTTCAATATCTAGCTTTTTTAGTTTTATTACTTTTTTTTTTTTAGTACAGACTCCTATCATCTCCATCCCAACTTTGAAACTATATATTGTATCTCCCAGTATAGAGATTTGATGTTTACTTCTTCACAAACTATTAACTTCTATTCTTCTGTTCTTATGGGAGGGGATATGGGGATTTAACAGTAAACAGCTTCTGGGGCGCCTGGGTGGCTCAGTGTTTAAGCGTCTGCCTTTGGCTCAGGTCATGATCCCAAGGGTCCTGGGATCGAGCCCCACATCGAGCCCCACATCAGGCTCTCTGCTCCATGGGAAGCCTGCTTCTCCCTCTCCCACTCCCCCTGCTTGTGTTCCCTCTCTCTCACTGTGTCTCTCTCTGTCAAATAAATAAATAAAATCTTTAAAAAAACAACAACAACAATAAACAGCTTCCAACCCATTCACCTGAATTTATCTCCTCATTCTTTCTCCCTACTTCCATGAGAACTGGATAGAGTGATTCTTGAGACACTAGGAAACTCGATGATACACATCTGCTCAGTTCCTACATATCTCTGCTTCAAGTTTTTTTCCCCCCCATTTTGCTTAGTCAGAGAAACCTTCCCTGATTTCCCAAAACAAATTTTATCTCCCTACATACACTTACCAAATTCTCTACCTCTTCTGAGTACTGTTTGCAATTGCAACTAAACTTATTTGAATAAATACATTTAACCTCTGTCTGCAGTCCTAGGTTGTAAGCAACTTGAGAGCAGTCCATGATTGTCTTGTTTTCAGTTCTAATTCAGTGCTTGGCATATTCTCTAGTACATAAGTACACAGTTACTTATTTTTTAAATGAATGAATGAATCCAAGGAAATAAAAGAACTGAGATAAACATCATGAAAATCCTCAGTACATGACTATGGCCTACAACACTTAATTGCTGTGCCAAATTATGAAACCATTCCAAAGCATTACATATTCATATTATGCTTGATCTGTTCATCCACTTCAAACTTAGAAAAAACTGCTAGTTGATTCAGTTTCAAAATAAATGAACTAAATTTTTTTCTGACAATTTTATGAAGCTATATGGCTCCAGGAATAATATTAAAGATATTAAAAATAAATGCATATATATTTCAGGTAGTGCTAAAAAGTATGAAGAAAAGTAAAGAAGAGAAGGAAGAATAGGGAGCAATAGGAGAGCTCTTTTAAAGAGGGAAGACAGGGAAGATCTTCATGTTAAGTTCACATTTTAGCAGAAACTGGGAGAAAATTTGAAATCAAGCCATGAGGATATTGGGTTGTTCTTTACTCTCTTTCTCTCTCTCTCTCTCTCTCTCTCTCTCTCTCACACACACACACACACACACACATCACTTATCAGGATAAATATTAATTTTCAGTGGGAGTACAGTCATAAAATGAGAAAAATATTTTCCTACTTTGCAACTATGAGAAATATTTTCCATAATATTCATTGTGCTTTTCTCGGCATAGATTCAGTTCTTATCATTACTGTAGTCAGCAGTTTTTATTTTCCTTTATCCCCAGCTTCCACATTGTGGCCTTTCAAGCCTGTTAGGAATAATAATAGGATTCGTGTTGGGCCACACACCCATTGTTATAGAAAGAGAAGCTTTGAGATAACTGTTCTAATAGAATCACAGCTAAATTCTTTGCCAGTATTACTCACACCCTCAGTTATTCTCTGAGTGGAATGATGGTTTTGCCTTATTCTTTCAATCATATAGATATAGGCGACCCCAAAGAAGCTTGTTGATAAAGGTTTCCAGGGAATCATTCCCTTGGGGATTTATAATTTAGGGTGATTCAAAACTGAGAAACATAGTTCTACCAGTCATCCTTCTTTTCTGCTATTTTCTACAAACCTCCAGTGGTCCTGGCATCTAATTCTATATGATTATTTGGATACATAACATGCAGACAATAAGGTTTATTTCCACATACATATTCTTCACTCCCAAACTAAAGATCGTTAAAAGGAGAAAATGAAAGACACAGGCAGAATATAGAAACCCAAGTACCATTTTAAGTCAAGCTACAACATGAACACCAGGCTTCCACAAAATGATCAACAGCATCACTGTGTCACATCTAAATCTCAACTTTCATATACAATACATATCATATTCTATATCCTATATTATGAAATTTTATTTACATGCACATGATCATTTCTCATATTACTAACTACCTTGCATCATTCTATCCAAATACAAATTCATTGCCCTACAATAATAGCTAATGTCATTTTAGGATTTGTTGTTAAGTATGATGATAGATAGATGATAGATAGATAGATAGATAGATAGATAGATAGATAGATAGATAATAGAGATTTTTTATATTTAAACTTATTTAAACATCACATCAACTCCTGTAAAGTAAGGGTTAATTTACCCCTATTTTACAGAGGAGGAGGAAACTAAGATATGGAGAGGGTAAGTGATTTACCCAAAGTTGCAGAACTAGTAAGTGGCAAACACTTTATTCAAACCCAAATACTTTTAAGCCAGAATTATATTATGGAACTTTGATCTTTATACTGTACTGTCACAATCTTCCCCTCACTCTACTCTCTAGTGTTTCTCACCATCTTATTTCTTCTTTTATCAGTCAGGCCAGTTGAAAAACAATTTTTGTGATTTAATCTCCATCAGCCACAAGAAAGCCCTCAACAAAAATCTTGTCCTTTTGTCCTGAGCCTATCCCCCTAGATATCAATGATTCTACCATGTGTGGATATTAAGCATAAGCTCCTGTGGATACCATATTAGTAGTGAAATAAACATTGACTGACAAGAAAACTGCGTATAATAATAATTGACTCAACACATCCTTTTCCTTTTTAACACTATTTTTCATTACATATGCATAAGAAAATAAGAAAATAACTCTGATTTCCAATAATTTGCTTAATACTTGCTCAGCCAGGTACTGAGGTAAAGAGCTTGTCATACAGTCTCTTTTTTCTAATTCTATATAATAATCATAATAGGAAATTATTAAACCAGGGTTGAAAGAAATAATTTTAGAGGACTTCAGTATAAACTCACCAGATATTTATACTGACTGTCTAAGTCTGAGAAAGGGAAAATAACTTTTTTAAATTTTAAAGTGAAGGAATATGTTATAGAACGTTATACTTAAACGAAGTCTGGTTCTAATCCCAGTTCTATTTCTAACTTGTATCAATGTGGGCAAAGTTATTTACTTAGTCCATCTATTAAGTGGGAATGTTGAATTACATTGTCATAGAGGTTCATTTCTATGCTAAAATTCTATTTACATACTATTACAAAACAAAGGAAGTGGCAAAGTTAATAGAGACAAACTCTTCCAGAATTATCTAAAATCAAGTAATTTTGACTTACCCTTCAAAAAAAAAAAAAGAAGGAAGGAAGGAAGAACAAAAGAAAGAAAACAATAGGATATTTATTCAAATGTTTTGATAATGATGACATGGTTCAGCTATCCACCTCTCAGCAAACTTTCAGCACCCATCTTTGACTGTATGGCCTTGCTTCATTCTTATCCTTTTATATTATAAAATACATGGATAAGTAGATAGTCCTTCAGAAATAACTTCTACTCTTTCTAAAGAACATGGATGGGCAAATCTCGTCTAACTTGCCCAATTACTGTTAGTATAGTTTTTAACATATTGCTAATAAGATGGCACTTGGCCACTAACAAGCCATCCTTTTAAGTATTCCAGTTTTTTTCTAGACTAGTCATTCTCAACTTACACTGTACAGTGGAATCATCTGGGGAAGCTTTTAAAACTACTGATGCCTGGGTCCCACCCCCAGAGATTCTGATTTAATAAGTCTAGCATGAGGCTTGAAGACTGGGATTTCTTAAAAGCTCCCCAGGTGATTCTAATGAGAAACAAACAGTGAGAATTTTTGAGTTCTGAAAATGTGTTGAAGGAATCCAAACTCTGGATCACTGAAAATGCTGTGCTCACCTTTCTGTAACAGTCTCTCTGTCTCACTCCTGGCACATGATGAGTTAAGAGAAAGAGCATATACCATTGATTTGTGCGTTATAAGGAAATATTGCCATTTTAAAAGAAGATTGCAGGCTTTTCTATATGTGGGAGCCTACATAAATCCTCTTAGGTAGAAAATGGCTTCTTTCCTTTGAAAAAAGATACATATTTATTTCACTGTGAAAGGCAAGACATAGGGCAGAGTTTGAATGAGAAAACACAGAAAAATATAATTAACTGCTTTGCATAATAAAGTTAATAGTTGCTCTTGCTGCTGTAGAGAGATTGTTTTAAGATAAATTTTAGCTTTGAGCAGGTAACACAGGCAGGAATTTTGTGTGTGTTTGCTGGGGGCGGGGGTTGGTTTGCTGTTTTGTTTTGATTTTACAGTTTTGCTGGGGATGGGGATTGTATAAGATGGAGAAGAGATGGAGGGTCAGGGATAGAGAGTATAGAGGAATAAATAGAAAGAAAAAAAAAGACCCAAAGAGAGAATAAGTCCCAACAACATAGGCATAGATCAAGCCCAAATGAAAAACATGGCTATTATTTAAACATTCCCTGAGACAATGTGTGATTAATAAATTAGAAAAAGCAGTTTTCTATTCTATGCTATAATTTTCTTAACCCCAACCCTCCCCAAATCTGTAATACAGCTTTGTTAACTACTAACTTAGTAATGGTGTCTCTTCCCCCTATTTGGGGAATAAACTCTATACTTATATTTTAGGTGAAGCGAACCACAAAAGCTAAAGGAAGATGTGGAGGTGGAGAGAGATGGCCAGAATGCTCAGGGAGAAAACAGCCAAAACCAGGAATTTGGCACAAAAGACAAGAAATAACCACCAAGACATGTAAGCACAATCTCTGGGAATTCTCAGAAATATTTGAAAGGAATATGAATCTCTTGGAGTCTAAAGTGTGATTGGAATTTAAGTTATTTCATTTAGAAATTAAAGAAAAATTTGCCCCACTGAAGGTCAGGGGGTACAAATGGGTGACAGAGTGGTATATTTAGGGAGGGGAATAGAATTCCTAGTACCCAGACTATTATTTATTTCCTTCTTCATCAGTCTCATCATCCTTTTTGGGCTAAGTATATCACAAAATTCAGAAAAGATCATTAGAGCTTTTTTTTTTTTTTTTAGAGCTTTTTTTTTAATTTATTTTTCTTTTTATTTTTTTTAGTATCAATATGTTTATTGTCCACCACAGGAATACTTGCATTTTTTTGCATACAGCTTATTTTATTCTATTTTTTTTATTTTATTTATTTTATTTTATTTTATTTTATTTTATTATTTATTTTATTTTATTTTATTTTATTTTATTTATTTTATTTTATTTTATTTTATTTTTTTTATTTTATTTATTTTATTTTATTTTATTTTATTATTTTATTTTATTTTATTTTATTTTATTTTATTTTTTATTTTATTTATTTATTTTATTTTATTTTATTTTATTTTATTTTATTTTATTTTATTTTATTTATTTTATTTTATTTTATTTTATTTTATTTATTTTATTTTTATTATGCTCTGTTAGTTGATGAGTTTCATTAGAGCTTTTATCCTGTAGTGGAGAATAAGAGCTTAACATGTACCCTTACTGAAGGGTTAAGACCTTGAAGAGACTCCTGATTTCTGGGTTATAGTCACAACTTCTTTGAGCCTTGTGAAAAGTCATGTTGGAGTTGCAATGTCTTTTTATCTAAAGTTGTGGTTGTTTCTTGTTGTTTTTGTAGGTGAGATGGAAACACTATCAAAAGAAGAAAATAAGCCATAAATTGTCCAACATTAAGGCAATTACAGGATGTTAAATAGTTTCCAAGTCTGTAAATAGTGTATACTTTATTGAATTTGTATCTAGATGATGTTTTTCTTCCTTTAAGGGCCTTAAAATAAGATATGCTTAATTTCTTAGTAATGGCCAATTTTATTATACTCATGGGATATTCCTGGGGATTGGTTGACATTTTTTTTCTTATAGAAAAAGTGGTGTAATTTCTAGTCCAGTGCTTCCAAAAATACATAAGAACTTCCAAATAAGTAAAATGTAAAAAATACATAGCCAGTTACCTACGTAAGAATCATCTCAGTGGCTTATTAAAGTTGCAGATGCTAGGGTCTCAACTGCAGGGGTAAAGAAGCAAAAATATATTTTTATAGGAAAAGCATGGAGGGATAAGTTTTGAGAAACACTGGGCTAGATTATAGACCCCTCAAACAATCTACAAGTTCTGGAGTTTAAGTATCTTTGCCACTAAAAGCAAATGCATATATTCTGTCGTATTGTGTAATAATGTTCTTTGTTCATTTCATAGTTTTAAAATTTCTCTTCCCAACTTCTCTGCTTCCTCCTCTTCCTCATCATCCTTTTTCTCCTCCAATCTTCTATCAAAAATATAAATGATGAACAAGAGTCAAATAAAAGAAGATCTGGGGAAAGATGATTCCAACCTGAAGGAATAGCAGTGCAAAGCAGTAGGCAGAAACAAGATCAGTGTGTTTGAAAAACACCAAGAAGCTACCCTTGGTGACTGAGAAGTATAGCTGGTGAGGAAGAAGATGGTAGTTTTCAAGATCAGACACACAAGCAAGAGTCAGACAAATATGGCATTGTAGGCCAAGGTAAGGATTTAGATTTTATTCCAATTGCAGTAAAAGGTATTTGGAGAGTTCCAAATAAGGAGAAAAGATGGGGGTTCTGGCCTACATTTTAAAAATATTACTCTGCCTGCTCTGTGGCGGTAAGTTACTGGTAGTTATAAGAAAGTTCTGCTGAGAAGCTAGAGTGAAAACTATACGAATGAGATGACAGTGATTGGACTTGGGCAGCCTTGAAAAGCGTGTGTGTTGGTTCTTTCTTTTGGCACTCAGTGTAAACCCCACCTCCTTTTATCATCCCCCCCCCCCCCCCATATGTGGGTGCTGCACTCTGGGAACTGTATTTTCCTAGGCCTCTCATCAGGAAGCTTCTGGTTTAGACTTCACCTATTATAGACACTCACAAAAAATCAGAAAGGAAAGAGATAAAATTCATTCTTCCTCCAGAATGATGCTGGCAGCCTGGACTGCTGGATTGATGGTAGTGGTTTCATGAAGCTTCTTAATATCCAAAGTCCACTGTCAGGGTCCTGCTGCAAAGGAGCAGTTTCAACACTAGTTTTTGTAGTTTTATGATTTCTAGATAGCCTCCCCAATGCTTACATTTATTCCTCTATCCTCTCCAACAACACTGAAAGCAGCTGACCTTGTATTAAATCGTTATGCTTAAAATACATAGATTGATGCCTATTTCCCTGATTGAACTCTGACTTAGGTAGCATTTTTCTTTGCCCAACAGTAGTTCTAAGAAACAGTCCCTCAAATATGGAAATCTGGGAGTAATTATCAGTCCTACTGGGCTTTAAGGTAGTGATGACTTCATCTCCAGGAGAAAATGAGATGTTGGTCATACACATCACTTAGACAAAATGGCCAGTAGAGTATACATGATGATTGCAAGTGCTCTGCATGGGCTAGTTACTTCTGGCTACATTGGAAGGATAACATAAAGAAAATGATGAGTTTAGGGCTTTACCTTTTCTGTTCAAGTCACAAGCAGAGAACTGAAGTGTTCCAATGATTACCCTAAAATAACCTCTTGTCTCTTATCTACAAAAGATAAGAGTGGACATCCCTGTCTTATTCCTGACCATGGAGAAAAAGCTGTCAGTTTTTCCCTATTGACAATAATATTAGCTATGGGTTTTTCATATATGGCCTTTATAATGTTGAGGCATGTTCCCTTTAAACCTGCTTTGTTGATGGTTTTTATCATAAATCGATGTTGTACTTTGTCAAATGCTTTTTCTGCATCTACTGAAATGATCATATGGTTCTTATCCTTCCTTTATTAATGTGGTGTATCACATTGATCTGTGAATATTGAACCACCCTTGCAACCCAGGAATAAATCGCACTTGATTGTGGTGAATGATTTTTTTTAAATGTATTGTTGGATCCAGTTTGCCAGTATTTCATGGAGAATTTCTGCAACCATATTCATCAGGGATATTGACCTATAGTTCTCTTTTTTAATGGAGTCTGTATTTGGTTTTGGCATCCAGGTAATGCTGACCTCATAGAATGAATTTGGAAGTTCTCCTTCCTTTTCTATTTTTTGGAATAGTTTGAGAAGAATAGGTATTAATTCTTCTTTAAATGCTTGGTAGAATTCACCTGTGAAGCCATCTGGTCCAGGACTTTTGTGCGTTGGGAGGTTTCTTTGTTTTTTTTTTTTTTATTACTGATTTATTTTTTTGCTGGTTATCAGTCTGTTCAGGTTTTCTATTTCTTCCTGTTTCAGTTTTGGCAGTTTATATGTCCACTCTCACCACTGTTATTTAACATAGAACCGGAAGTCCTAGCCAAAACAATCAGACAACAAAAATAAGCAAAAGGCATCCAAATCAGCATGGAAGAAGTAAAACTTTCACTATTTGCAGATGACATGATACTCTATATAGAAAACTTACAAGACTCCACTAAAAAACTGCTAGAACTTTGATAAACAAATTCAGTAAAGTCTCAAAACACAAAATCAATGTACAGAAATCTGTTGCATTTCTATACACCAATGATGAAGCAGCAGAAAGACAAATTATGAAATCAATCCCATTTACAATTGCACCCAAAGCAATAAGATACATAGGAATAAAATTAACCAAAGAAATAAAAGACCCATACTCTGAAAACTATAAAACACTGATGAAAGAAATTGAAGATGACACAAAGAAATGGAAAAATATTCCATGCTCATGGAAGAACAAATATTGTTAAAATGTCTATACTACCCCAAACGATCTATACATTAATTGAAATCCCTATCAAAATACCAACAGCATTTTTCACAGAGCTAGAGCAAACAATCTTAAAATTTGCATAGAACCACAAAAGACTCTGAATAGTCAAAGTAAGCTTGAAAAGGAAAGCAAAGTTGGAGGCATCCCAATTCCAGACTTCAAGTTATGATTACAAAGCTGTAGTGATCAAAACAGTATGGTACTGGCAAAGAAATAGGCACAAAGATCAATAGAATAGAATAGAAAACCCAGAAATGAGCCTACAACTGTATGGTCAATTAATCTTTGACAAAGCAGAAAGACTATCCAATGGGAAAAAGACAGTCTCTTCAATAAATGGTGGTAGGAAAACTGGACAGCCACAAGCAAAAGAATGAAACTGGACCACTTCCTTACACCAAACACAAAAATAAATTCAAAATGGATTAAAAACCTAAATGTGAGACCTGAAACCATAAAAATCTTAGAGGAGAACACAGGCAGTATCCTCTTTGACATAGGATATATCAGCTTCTTTCTACATATGTCTCCTGAGGCAAGGGAAGCAAAAACAAAAATGAACTATCGAGACTTCATCAAGATAAGATGCTTCTGCACAGCAAAGGAAACAATCAACAGAACCTAAAGGCAACCTATCAAATGGGAAAATATATTTGCAAATGACATATCTGACAATAGGGTTAGTATCCAAAAGATATAAAGAACTTATGAAACTCAACACCCAAAAAACAAATGATTCAATTAAAAAATAGGCAGAAGACATGAACAGACATTTCTCCAAAGAAGACATCCAGATGGCCAACAGACATATGAAAAGATGCTCAACATCACTTATCATCAGGGAAATACAAATCAAAATTACAATGAGATATCACCTCACACCTCTCAGAATGGCTAAAATCAGAAACACAGAAAACAACAAGTGTTGACAAGGATGTGGAGAAAAAGGAACCCTCTAGCACTGTTGGTAGGAATGTAAACTGGTTCAGTCACTGTGGAAAACTATGGAAGTTCATCAAAGAGTTATAAATAGAACTATCCTATGATCCAGCAGTTGCACTACTTGGTATTTATCCAAAGAACACAAAAATACTAATTCAAAAGGATACATGCACCCCACTGTTTATAACAGCATTATCTACAATAGCCAAATTATGGAAACAGCCCAAGTGTCTATCAACTGATGAGAATAAGTAAGAGGTGGAATAATATAATTTTACTCATATGTAGAGGTTAAGAAACAAAATAGATGAACAAAGGGGGAAAAAAGAGAGGCAAGCCAGAAAACAGACTCTTAACTATAGAGAAAAAACTGAGGGTTACTGGAGGGGAAGTGGTCAGGGAGATTGGCTAAATGGGTGATGGGTATTAAGGAGGGCACTTGTGATAAGCACCGGGTGTTTTGTGTAAGTGATGAATCACTAAATTCTAAACTAATATTACACTGTATGTTAATGAATTGGAATTTAAATAAAAACTTGAAAAAGATTTTTTAAAAAAAGAAAAAAGGGGTGGTATATACATATACATATATATGTATATATGTATATATATTATTCATATATATATATCAAAATATTACTCAGCTACAAAAAGAATGGAATCTTGCCATTCACAATGACATGGATGGAACTAGAGAGTATTATGCTAAGTGAAATAAGTCAGTGAGAAAAAGACAAATACCATATGATTTCACTCATATGTGGAATTTAAGAAACAAAACAAACAAAAGGGGGAAAAAAGGAGAGACTGATGGCTATCTAAGGGGAGGTGGGCAGAGAGATGGGTTAAATAGGTGATGAGGACTAAGGACAGCACTTTTTGCAATGAGCACCAGGTATTATTTGGAAGTGTTGAATCACTATATTGTACACCTGAAAGTAATATTACACTGTATGCTAGCTAACTGGAATTTAAATAAAAACTAACTAAATAAATAAATAAAGCTAAGGTAAGGTAAAGTAAGGTAACTAATATAGGCAAAAATCATATCCAAAACTTAACTCCATAGGTTTGAAAATTTTAATGTAAATTGAATTCAGAGCATTAGTAGGATTTTTAGAATTTAAAAAATGAATTAGACCCAGAGAATTGGATGAGGAGAATTTTGGTTGATTTAAATGAAACTTGAACTTCTAAATCCCATTGCACTTCCTAAAGGAAGCAGCAGCCCCTTTTTTAAAGAAAGGATACAAACCCCTTGTTATCAAATCTCATGCAGTTACCTTACAAAGAGTGACCTATCTCTCCTTCTTGTCTGATTGCTGAAGCTAAATGTGAGACAGGAAACCATCAAAATCCTAAAGGACAAGACAAGCAGCAACCTCTTTGACCTCAGCCATAGCAACTTCTTACTAGACATGTCTCCAGAGACAAGGGAAACAAATTAAAAAATGAACTATTGGGACTTAAGATAAAAAGCTTCTGCACAGTGAAGGAAATGATCAACGAAACTAAAAGACAGCCTACAGAATGGGAGAAGATATTTGCAAATGACATATCTGATAAAGGGTTAGTATTCAAAATCTATAAGGAACTTATAAAACTCAACTTCCAAAAAACACATAATCCAGTTAAGAAATGGGCAGAAGACATGAATAGACATTTTTCCAAAGACATCCAGATGGCTAACAGACACATGAAAAGATGCTTAACAGCACTCATCATCAAGGAAATAGAAATCAAAACCATGATGAGATACTACCTCACATCTCTCAGAATGGCTAAAATTAACAGTACAGGAAACAACAGATGTTGACAAGGGTGTGGAGAAAGGGGAACCCTCTTACACTGTTGCTGGGAATACAAACTGGTGCAGTCACTATGGAAAACAATATGGAGGTTCCTCAAAAAGTTAAAAATAGAACCACCTATAATGGAGCAATTACACTACTAGATATTTACTCAAAGGATACAAAAATACTGATTCAAAATGGACATGTACCCCTATGTTTATAGCAGCATTATCAACAATAGCCAAATTATGGAAAGAACTCAAATGTTCATCGATTGATGAATGGATAAAGGATAAAGAAGTTGTGATATACATATATATGAATATTATTTAGCCATCAAAAAGAATGAAATCTTGCCATTTGCTACAATGTGGATGGAGCTAAAGTGTATTATGCTAAGCGGAATAAGTCAAGTTAGAGAAAGACAAATACCATATCATTTCACTCATATACATAATTTAAGAAACAAAATAGATGAACACAGAGGAAGGGAAAAAAATAAGAGGGAAGCAAACAATAAGAGACTCAGAATGGCTAAAACTTAACTATAAAGAACAAACTGAGAGTTGATGGAGGGGAGGTGGACAGGGGATGGGCTAGATGGGTGACGGGTATTAAGGAGGGCACTTGTGATGAGCCCTGGGTGTTGTATGTAAGTGCTAAATCATTAAATTCTACTCCTGAAACCAATATTACATCATATGTTAACTAACTAGAATTTAAATAAAAATTTGAAAATGAAAAAAAAAAGAAAACAAAAACAAAGAGTTACCTATCTCTTCAAGATTTACCCTTCACCACTCATTGTCTCCAGAACCATGATCATGACATGGCCCAGGATTAAACATACACAGTCCACCCACAAGAAAATACATTATACTCCAAAGTAACTACAAAACTTCGTTAACTTTTATTGACAAAATCTTGAGGATATGGATATATTTGTAAATGGCCATGGTTTGGGCTAAATTTATAGATATAGTTGCCCTGGATCCATTGAGGTAACTCAGGGAATAGCAGAGGCTCCAACAATTTGCTCAGGTGGTTGACTGGAATATCAACTCAACAGTGTCCTACAAGGAAGCTCAGATGTCAAAATGTATTAACATAATGTAAAGGGAAGGATCTCAAGGTTTGGGGTAAAGGAAATGTGTGTTGAGTGGATATATTCTCATACCATGGCTCCTAGGAAGGCCCAGTGGACTGCATTCACCAAGACATTGCAAGAAAAAAACATTGGTAGAGTGCATCTAGGAAATGTTCTGGACTTGCTGTGATTTTTGAGTGAACAGAACTATGAGATGATGCCATCTGAATGGGCTCTCTGGTGTTATTAGGGATGTAGACCAAGACTGGCAGTAT